CCATTCATTCCAAATCAGTTCATGTCACCTGAGAACTTGACAGCATTAAAACAGAACAGTTGTAGAGTTGGTTTATTGAGCAAACACTGAGCATTTTTTTTTCTTTAATTCCATCAATTGAGAACTCAGGAAGTGAAGATACTGAGCTCAGGTTTGGAGCGATCGTCTCATTTTCATCAGCTCATTTCTCATTTCCTATTGTAGGTTTTATTATCTTTACAAAAATATGGCGTCTTGACATACTCCCTAATATTTGGCAGTTTTATCATGACTATTAGGGTTAATGAAACGTAAAACAATTGGACTTAATCTCAAATATTTCTGTTAATTGAAGATTTCTTCAGTATTTTTCCTCCTCTCTCTTCCTGGAAAGGTATGTAAGTTGTCATAACAACTACTGCTCTTTGTTGTGTTGATTTTGGTGTGCACAACTCACGCACATCTGCCTGATCTTCCCGGAATCTGCTAAACCTGAAGGAATACTAACATACCAGGGTCCTCAACTTCTGCATGACTTTCTGCTTCATCATAGCCCAGATTTCCTTTGCACTAACAGAGCAACTAAAACAATCACAAACTGCATGACCTTAGCATTCAGATTCCATAATTTCACAGAAGTCTCTTGCTTTTACATTAACAAGCTTTTTAAGCTTCACTGAAGAGTTGGCTATACCAGATACTATCCTAAATGCTTTTTAGAGGTGTTTTTCAAAAATTAGGTATTTTATTTGATCAGTAGTAGTTGTATCTGATCACCTTGCTTATTTGGTTGTTTTGTTTGTTTGTTTTTGCTTAAATCATAATATTGTAGATTATTTCTAAACACCTACTGCAAGTTCCTGCTATTATTTAACCTATTTTGAAAATAAGTCTATTTGTTCCTTACTTCCAGAGTTAAAGAATAAAAACATGTCCATATCAGACGAGTTGAATCATAACAAACACTGCGCTCAGTCACTGCTGACAATATTTAAAAGCACAGTAAACAAAGCTCTTCTCCTGACAATATCTGGACAGCATTTTCTCCACAAGTCCTCTAATACTTCTCCTGAGGCCAGTGAGTGCTTGTTGACATCAACAGGAGCTGGATCTAATCCCAATTCCCATTTCTGCACACAGGAGTTTGAAACTTCTTCAGAGAACGGGGATAACAGCAATTTGTTGTGGCATATTCAACATCACAGGCACTGCAGGAGGAGCATGCAGGGCCCAGAACTGACAGAACAAGCATCAACACTATTTGTTGATTCTGGCACACAGGTATAAAGGAAGAACCTGACAACGTTGTGCTAGTGAAAAATGACTCTCCCGCATGGAATTTGCAATGAAAACACTGTCTGGCACCCCACACGCGTGGGAGGGCATTTCATGCTCTGTCAGGAACTGAACAAGGCAACCATAAAATTTACTGAAGAAAAGGTGTCTGAGCAGGGATGGGTGAGTACTGCAGAATGCAGGGAAAAACAAGGGGGTTTTACAGCTAAAAGAATGGTTTGAGAACCTTCCTGTTTCTGTGTAAGTTATCCCGTCTCTTTTATAGTCAGTCTAAAAATCAAAAAATCTGTGCTTTCAGGTTTGAAACAGAAGAAAGCCCTCATTGTGTAACAGCTGATATCAACAGTCATACAGCACGTATGCACTGATGACATACTCATGGGGTTACCTGCTTTCTACGTGCTGCTGTTTCAGCTTCCATTCTACTTTCCATAAAAATAACTGCAAACACCCTTCTTTAATCACAGACATCAGAGAGTCTCTCCAAAGTGGAACACAAGGTTCAAGACCAATTTTCATATGTTTTGATGCAACACGTGAAAGCCTTAGCTTATTCACCCCTAGCTATTAAACGCAAGTTTTACCATTATCATCAAATATTTTGGAACCAGTATTTCCTAAGATCAATAAATGGTGTATGTCTCTATATAGACAACATACAGCTACTGCTACCACGACACAAGGCTTAGTTCCAAAGAGCATGTGTATGTATATACATATATTTTTTTTTTATTTCCAAAAGTAGATAGTATTCATCACAAGGTCTATCATATGTTTTTTCCATTCCAGCTTATTTCCTTGAAAGCATATCACTCATTTACAGTTGACACATTTTTCCTGTAGTCTTCATGACTGTGCTTAAGCAGTCTCTGAAATCTGTCAAAGTAGAAAATCTTATCATAAGATGACAAATTCAGTTGTTTTTTTAAATTAATTGCTTAATTATTTTTCTTTTAAGTACCAGGTATGTAAGGCTTAAAGGGTCACCTCAGCAACAGGTCATTTACCTCAGCACCGGTAATTACTTGCCAATTTCTGACAACTCAACTAGTTGACTACTGTCTGTCTTACAGGATATACAAATGTTTCACAGGCTGTGGAAATTGCACGTACACATCCCATCAGCCATTCAGTCAACTATCTGAAAACGTGTCTGAGAGGATTTCTAAACCATATTATGTCATGTTTGTGCTCATAACCATTCATATTTTGCATATAATGAGGGAGAATTTCCAAGAATTATCTTCAGACACTGCAATATGACCTGGCTGCAGCAGATGAAAAATGTAGGGCACTGCTTTTTTGGCCTTTTGTATGTCTGTCACTTCAATTCAGGAAGGCTGGAGATTTCACGTTTGAGTGCTTATACACAGAAATAATAATTAATGCAAAAGATAAAAAGGAAAACTGGACAGAAAACAAAGAAGTTTTCTTATTCTCATCACTGGCAATAATATTCAGAATTTCCAAAGTAACAGGTACTTGATCATATGAAACTCCATGCCACCTCACAAACATTCTCAAGCTAATTGTGCAAACTAGACACTGTTAAACCAAAGAAATAACTGAGCACAATGCTAACTACACATTTTAGTGTAATTGCCAGGAAGCTGCCTACATGCTCATTTGCAGAGGCTAGTAGGACTAAAGACCAACATACCTAAGTGTAACACACCACAACTTTCAATTGCATGGCAAGCATTCATATAAGCAACCAAGAATGACAGCATAACAAAAGTGCCATTTTGCACCCAGAAGTGTGCCCAGCACAGCTTTTGCAAAGATCGCTCGGGTTCATCAAAATTATTGTCTCCACCCCCACATGCAGTTGTTACTGCACATGTAATCTCACTAAAGATTACCACACACTATTTTCTTTCAAATTTGTCACAGCATTTTCACCTGGTAGCATTCCAGGAAAGGTGACAACAGCCACTGAACAGTACCAGGAATACAAAGTGCCCTGTGTGATAGAAAGGCAGCATCAGCATAAAAGCCTCAGGTCTAATTTTACTGATTTTACTGGACCTAACTTTGCTCTGGGAAAAGAAATAAAACAGTAAATACGTTGAATGGACAACTGATGGGTTTTGATTTTTTGCTGGTGCTTTTAAACCAAATCATTCTACTCACATAAAAACAAGTTTCAAAATGAACTCTGTTAAAAATACAGTTCAGAAACATGTGTCAGAAACACTTGTGCTGGGCTAAATTCAGCCTTAATTCAGAACTTGTTTACTTGTATGGAATTATACAGAGATAATAATTTGCATCACAAAGTATTTCTTCAGAATCAGGCTGTTTTTAAAAAACAGACTGGTTATGTTCATGTGGTGGGAAATATGAAATATCTCAGCAATTAATTAGAAGTTACATTCAGATTTGAAGTAAATATTAAGGATATTTGATTGCCTAAATACTTTAATAAAAAAGAAATTGATAGTGTACAAATACAAAAAAAACAGCAATTAGTTTTCCTTTTGATTGTGCAAGAAGCAGAGGAATTTAAATCTTTAAGGTATGTGATACTCTCAATTTGTAAAAAGAATGCACTTTAACAAATGCTTCCTCTTAAGTACTATTTAAGAGGATGAAAGATACTCATTATCGCTAAGAAACAAGTGCAATTACCAGATTCCTCTCTCTCTTTTTTTTTTTTTTTTTTTTTACTATTACTAAACAAAGGACTTAAATACCCAGCAGAAGATTCAGTAAAAAATAGTTTGATATTTTGGCTATTAGTTTGATATTTTGGTTATTAGTCTTAACTGAAGGTTTTCAAACACACAGTCACTCTGCAGACTTGAATCACGATTGCACTCTTACATTATCTTTACTTCCGTATCTGCTTACATAAGTACTTGTTAATGAAAGTATGGGCTCTTCAAAAAAGAAATAATGTTTAAAATACAGTGAATTTGAATAAACAGCTATTTTTTCTGCTACATCATTTTCTGTGGAAATAGGGTAATGATAACCTATGACTCAAAAGCAGAAACCGAAGTTGAACAAAACGTATGCTGGCAATGATGGATCAAACAGATACGTGGGAGGCTGTGAACAATGTACTGGAAAAAGCTTTTATATTTAGAATAACTAGTGATAGGTTTAAAGAAGAATGTATTTCAGGCTGTGCAAATTAGAATAGTCACATTAACCCAATGTAGCTGTATCTGAGCTTTACAGTGGGTTAAAAAAAAAAAAAAACACCTTGAAAAACTAATTGTCAATAAACAAAATTGATACAAGAAGATGTGAATGAATTTCAAGCAGTTAAGAAAGAAGAAACATGTTGGCACCACATGGTCTTACAATGAAAACACCCAGAGATTCTGATTCCAAACTGCTGTTGGATTTGGTTTTGGTTGTTGTTTCTGTTGATTTTGTTTAAGACAGAAGTGCTTTCGCCACACAGTAGTTGCCCATATTTTGCCGCTTTTGCAAGTTTCTTATACATTTTAACTTGTCATCTTTCAATAAGGTTTTTAACTCTTCCCCTTTCACATCTTCTAAGTTCTCTTACCAGAAATTTCCTCCACTATTTATTAAAACCTCCAATTTCAACTTATTTTATCTGCTTTCCTAATTTTCCCCCCTTTTTTTTTTTTTCTCTAATGGCTGCCCATATGCAGTTACAGCTTCTACATCACACCTACAAAGAAAGACTTATCCTTAAACAGCAAAGCATGAGTTTTATCAGGGTATAATTGCTAAAAGATCCTTACCTTTCCAAAGTCTCTCACATCAAACAAATCGAATGCTTCAAAAAGTTCACTTTTCTTCATCCCAAATATTTCACAACATGCCGAAAGAAAAGTCCTTATGTTCTTCAAGCAAAGAAACTAGGGGAAGGAAAACAAAAACAATAAGCATAAAGCATGACAACCAGCAACTTGTACATCAGCTCTTTGATCACAAATACTGAACAAAATTTGCAGATGCAAATGTTTCTTTTCTAAATCAGCACTTCCACTGTGCTGCGACCTTCTTCTGGTTCTAATTCAGCCATAACATTCCCTGCAGTCACAGAAGCACTAACACAAGTCTGCATAGAAATATTTTGTGAATATAAACCATTTTTTCACGTCAACAAAAATTATAAGCTACTAGACATATAATTTGACTAAATTAAGTTTACTTTCCAGTTCTATACAGAAAGCAAGACAGAGAACTTAAAAAGAACTTTTGATTTTTAAAAAGAATTAGCTTAATAAAATCATGTTAGTATGAAAAAGCTGAAAAAGTTGTTCTGCATGTACATAAAATTTCTTCTTCTGGTAAGATAAAATCCAGGTTTGAAAGTTTAATGGTTACACACTAAAGACATTATGAATATATATTCACCATTCACAGGAGGAGATGAAAAAGACGTGAAAAAGTACCTTTCCTTTTATCTACCAGAAATTTAATATCCTCAAGCCACCCTGATTTCTGTACTGAATTCGAAGGCTACTTTCTTCACTGTCTTTTTATATGGATGTTAGCTCCATAAAGATGTCACTGCAGATTGTTAAAATCCACTATACAATACTAAACCAAATACAGTATTTATAAGCAAAAATATTTCCAGTGTTCAAGTGCGCCCTTCATATGCATTTTATTAGAACATATAGAACAACTAACTAACAGAACTGAGTTCCTAGAGTTCTCCATGTTACAGTGGATTCATAACAAAATGGATTATTTACATTGGGACTGATTTTAGCATTGCTGTATGTTCCCGCTTAACACTGTTTACATGAAAACAATATTTTTGAAATTAATACAGAGCAGGTGTCACAACCACATGTATCCCAAGTGCCCAGTAAGATTCAACTGCTCACTCAGTCAAAATACCTTATTACTTTACTTTCAGCCTGAGACAAGAAAATACCAATTTAATAGGGAGCCTGACTTCATGTCTTACAGCTAACCAGAAAGACTGAGGAAAAAGCAGCACACCTGGTAGAACAGGCCGATTACATGCACAAATTCAAGAACAGAAGTCTAGAGCAGACAACTTCAGTGGTTGTGGGCATCAATACACAGCACGACCCCACAATCTCACTGCTGAGTGCCACTAAAGCCATCACAGGAGCTCCTAGCAAGGTACATGCAGCAAGCCCTGAGTAGCAACTGACAACACGTACACCAAGGCTGAGGGCCTGCAGGTGGACACACTGGTACTTCAGCCTCAAGCCAGCCCATGGCCTCCCCACACACCCAGTTGCGTGGCCCCATGTGCTGCACAGCTACACTAGGCTGCATCGTGCTGCACAGACAGCAAGGCTGCTTGGTGAGCGTGCTGTGCTCATGTACGCCTGCAGTTACAAATACTGAAATATGAGAAAGTGTGCCTAGATTTCTTAGTCAGCACCACAACCTTCTCTCATTTCACAGAAATTATGATTTTCAAGTTGAAATTATTTAGAAGATAGAGCCTGCTAACAGATAAGGCATACACACGCCTTCCACTCTCATCCTGCGAGAAAGCACCAGAAGACTGGTTTAAAACAAAGTGATTATTGGTTTTTGTTTTCTTTCTTAAGTTTTTTGTTTTTTGTTTTTTGTTTTTTTTTTTTTTTTTTAAAATCACCATCCTGAAAGCCATCAAGGTCTACTAAGTTTGTCCATGCAGAGCACAGTCTTATTAATGATTTAACCACAGTCAATTTCTTGCCGTTGCCAGTTTTAATACTCAATGAAAAACTCAGAATTCCCTTCTTTCCCTCTAGAAAGAGCTGAGTTTAGATCAGGGATGATAAGCTCTCACATAAAGACAGCTCACAGCTGCATTAAGTTGCTTACCTTTAGAAAGAGAACCAGAAGTTAAGGGGAGAGACAGGAGCTATCACAGACCTGAAACCTGGCCTAGATTTGGCTGAATTATTTCCATAAATTGCATTTGTTTTTTTTTAAGGTAGATGAAACTGCTTGCATATCAGCAGGCATGCACAAAAGAAAACGCTCTTTCCATTCTGCAAAACTTCTCCAAGATCTCCCAGCAGAGAATAAAAGGTAAATATGGCAGTATTTTGTCCAAAACTGCATATCAGTCATTTCAAACTGGAGAGGAATATTGTGAAACTAAGTTTCCCTAGCCCTCTGTTCTTAGAAGAAAAGGTTAAAGCATTTGCACTTCAAGTAAGAAATGTAATCCTTATGCACGTTCTAACAGAAACCAGAGGATTCTTATCCACACTCCCCACCTCAAACTATTTGGGAGTTTTGTTTGTTTGTTTGTTTTTTAATACTCGCTTATTCATTAAGTGTCAAAGTGCGCTTAATATACATCATATGTTAAACAGGCTCAATGTAATTATAATCCAATATTCAAGAACCATAAGACAACACTGCAGTTATATTGCTTGTCTTGTACGATCCAGAAACCATGCACTAAGCGTTTGTCAAACCTATCCACACTTGGGACTGGACCACATCATCAATTACAGACTGCCAAATGGTGCCTTTAACAGAACAGGCCTCCAGACAATACAGACTAACCCCTGCCCATTCATAGGAAGTCTAATGAGTTTAGCAAGGCAGCTAATGATTTAGTAACCAATTTTCTCTTGCGAAACTGAAAATGAAAGGCTTATTTCTGAATTACGCTAACCACAGTAGCTACCTGGATGTAATTCAGACTACTAAAACCAAAAGCTGTTTACATTATATGCATACAGTTTTCAGAAGAGCACGCAAGTAAGAAAACTCTTTTTTACAAAGAACTAGCTATCCACTGCTTATATTTTGTAAAAGTCAATTAAATTATCCAGAAAACTTCCAGAAAGATTTCAAAAACATCACTATAATCACCTAAAGAAACCGTTTTCTCACTGAAAACAAAGATTTTTATTCACTGTGGTTTTTGTACAGCAAATTAGTAAAAGAAACCTCAAAATTAAGAAAGAGCACACACCTAAAGCTGAGGAAGTTCTCTAAAAGACAACCCTCTTTGCCAGCAATGAGAATGCAGCACCAGTCTGCAGTCTGTCAGTAACAAGAATGGTCCTGAGGATATTTGGAAACTTACTACATTTTTTTGTTTGTTTCTTTTAGAAACAAAAACATTATGCTTTGGTACACCACAGGGAGATCAAAGGAATGAGCAGTTCTTGTACAGGTGTAAAGAGAGCTAAATGTCTCCCATTTGGGCTGAGCTCTCCTCTCCTCCGCAGGAAGCATCATCTTTCAGTACAAGAACTGGTTTCTCTTCATTATTTTGAGACATACACTTTAGGACACCACAGTCTAGAATTCTTGATACATGGATCAGTCAAAAAATTGCAGCAGGATAATGGAAGACACAATACTAAAACACTTACACTAGTGAAAAATAAAGCTCCTATCTGGCTCTGCTACAGGTAAATCATGAGAGGAGAGCACGCTGAGCACCCAGATACAGACTTCAAAAATCACCATCCTCTGGGTATGGCCAGTGCCCTGAAAACACATGGACAAGTGTGATAGCTCCACCCATCCCTGCCATTTTCTGTGCAGCAATGGATGCTGAGCATAAACAGCTTCACAGGATTTCCTCTTTGGCACTAAGCTTGGAGAAATAGCGTCACAAAGTATATTTAGTATACTGATGGTGGGGAAAAAAAATCATTTCATAATGCATGCTAGTTTTGCTCCACTTTCAATATTAACATCCACAGATTACCAAGATATTTATAAAGCAGTCCCAGACGTGCCACCAAACAGGTACTTACACTTCTACCAGCAGATCATGTTGTTATTGCTGGTGCTGCTGACATGTTACAACTCCTGCAATGAGGCTTTTTTATAAAACAGATTAGAGCACTATTGGCTTCTGGTCCATCCTGCTCAGAGTTTAATTCCCTAGCAGGTATTAAGACAATATTTATTGAAATGAAGAACAAGTTTGAGAAAAAATAAAAAACAAAACTAACATCAAAAGATGGAGCTATTGTTTACATGTTTGATAATGTATTTGTATGAACATAAATTGGAACTGAGCAGATAAACCAAATTATACTCAATTCCCCACAAAAACTATGCTGCTTTCTGCTATGACATTTGCTATTTGACACAAAAATAAACATTTACTTGAGGCTTTGTCAACATAGCGCGTTGTTATGAATACTGACAGAAATGTATAGAAATTCTTCACAAAAGAAACTGAATAGAAATGACTAATTAGACACAAAAAGCACAGGCAGGACTATCACTGCCCAGAGGAAGATAGATTTCTCTAGCCAGGCTTTTAATGAAGTGAAAGACTAAATGCAAACAAACAAAAAAAAAAAAAAAAAAAACCAATTCCATATACCGTCTATTACTATAGTCTTCAAGGTATTTGCCAGAGAATATATTCTTGCACTGAACTACTTCAATAGAATTAAACTCTGTTAGTAGTTAGACCATGCTCTGTATCTAGACATAGCTTCTGTACTAAAAGTGCTCCTAAGGGAGTTCAGAGACCAACATAAAGAGTATTGAAGATGAAATTCTACCGTTAGACATTCACATGGAACTGCAACACAGCAATATCACTCAAGCAAGTGAAAACCTAAAGGCCATGAAAAAAAAACATTTAGAGAGAAAGGCATTTTCATTATACTCCAACATCTTTCCCAAGTTCCTAATTACTAGGAGTGGAAAAACCAGCAATTGGTATTTATTTCAACTCCATCTCCATTTTATTATACAATTCGGTTATAATAAACTTCAGTAAATATCAACATTCTTGTATTTGTATATGAATCATTAGACATTTATAAAGCATGTAGGACAAGCCAGAACAAAGCACTATGCACAGCATAAACTGAAGATTGAGCCTCTGAGGTGATCTGAAGAGATGCTGAGCTATAAAGGGACATTAAATAGAAAGCAGGGA